CTGCTGCCCTCCCAGGGGTGGGGGACCAGAGACGGAGGACCCGGCTGTGCTCTCCGCCTTCCCCCCGCACCTCCCAGCTGGCCTGGAGCCTCAGCGGGCAGCAGGAAAGGGAGCCTGCGGCCCTGGGAAGGGGGGCCAGGCAGTGGCTCCAGGCGTGGGTGGGCTGCAGGTCTGGGTGTCCAGGCCCCTGCTGCCGGGCAGGGCCACCCCCGAGTCCCGGTGAACCTCTGGAAGAGACCCACACAGATGCCACCTGGACACCCAGACGGCGGCAGGGGTCGGGGGCCACGGGGAGCAGATGCGGGGACTCACAGGGGGCCTGCGTCCCTGCCCTCCTGCTGCCCGCCCAGCTCCGGCCTCTCCCAGGCCCACTCTGGGAATGCCCTGCTGTCCCCACCTGGGCCCAGCCTGCAGGGGACACAGGGGCTTCAGTGGCCCAGCCTGCTGGGGACGCAAGGGGTGCACCCCCCATGGAAGCCCAGCCCCCCTGGGCCCTGCAGGGCAAGAAAAGTGACCAGGAGGCTGCCCCCAGGGCGGAGCCTGGGGAAGGGGTACAGCTCAGGGACCTGGCGGAGAGGCGCCCTGGGGCAGGGTCCTTGGAGGAAGGGCTGCGTGGGGCCCTCCCTCCTCCCCACTCCCCCTCCTAGCAGGGCTCCAAGCCCACAGGCCCACCCTCCACCTCTGAGTCCCAGGGTCCCCAGCAGGTCCCCGGCTCCCAGCCCCCAGGCGGCCCTGCCTGACGCTCGGCCCCTGCCCTCTGGGTCTTGGGAGCACCCCACGCCACCCCGTTTCCCAGGAAACCTCTGGAAGAGATCCACACGTGGCCAAAACCCAGCGCCCGTGGCCTCAGCCTGTGCCCAGAGCCACCTCTTCCAGGCTGCCTGCCCCTCCCTCCAGCCAGGTCCAACGAGGGACAAATAAAGACAGAGAGGTGGCCAGGCTGACCAGGCCTTGTGGACCAGCAGGGGATGAGGGTAGGTGGCAGCCCTGCTCCCGGGAGTCTTGCAGGCCAAGGAAGTGGCCTGGCCCACACTGGACGGGAAGCCACCCACCCACCCCCAGGTCTCCCCAAGGCTGATAAGGCCAGGTGCTCCGAGGCAGGAGCTGGATGGTGGTTCCCAGCGTCCTGTGCTGTTTGCTGATGGCTGTGGCAGTAAGCCCTGCACCCAGGGAGGGGACAGAAGGGGTCTCCGTGGTCGGATGTGTGTGCCTCCAGGGGCAGCAGCTGACCATGCCCTGGCCTGGCAGGGGGAGGTCAGGCCTCACACTCTGGAGGTGGCTGGTTTGGACCTGAGCAAGGAAGGGCTCAGGTGGCTTCAGGCTGGCCCTTGGCCTGCCTGGTTTCCTGCAGAGCCCCTCATCCCGGACCTGGGCCAGAGCTGGGCAGTGTGGCCCATCCGTCCTCTGCCCCTTCCCTAGCCACGGCCCGGTTGCTGCCTCCTGGCCCAGACTTCGTGTAAGCCCTTCTCAGGGGCCTGGGGGCCTGGGCAAGGCCCTACCCGGCAGAAACATGTCTTTCATCCAGCACCACCCTCGGCCTCGCCTCTGGCCTGCGCAGGTGAGGCATGTCCACTCGCTGTCCTTGCCCTGGGGCTCTTCCCCTCAGGCCCTGCTGAGTCCCTCCTGCACCTGGACTTTAGGATCATGAGGGCGTGGAGTGACTGGGACACTGGGTGGTGCATTGCTGGCCCTGGGCATAGGCCAGCCGTGGTCACAGAGGACAGTGGAGGCCGCTCCCACCTCAGCCCTTGGTGGTCTTGAACAGGCAGAAGCCAGGCCCAGAGAGAGACCTCCTGGAGCCCTCGGCAGCCAGAGCCTGGGCTGGGGCTCCCTGGGGGCTTCTCAGTGGGCAGCACTGGACAGGGGTGGGCAGCGCAGCTCTGCGGTTGCCCAGCCTGGGGCTCCCAGGCTGCTGTGGCCACACCTGGCGTTGGCTCCTCGTCCCCCCTCCTCCTCACCTGCCCTTCCCTCACCCTTTTTATCTCCCTCCCCACATGGGTGGGCTCCCATGGGACTTCTGTGGGAAGGGCAGTGGCCGGCCCAGCCTGGCCCCTCAGTCCCTGGCTGGCCGCCCCGGGGTCTGCAGGCCCTCTGGTCAACCCTGGCCTCCCACCATCACCGAGAGGGCAGGACCTCATTCTGGGCCACCGCAGGGGCTCTGCAAACACTAATTCTTTCCACCAGCTGCGAACAGGGAGCTCCCCAGGTGACGGTGGACGTCAGCCCCAGGACCATCCCTGGTCACCTCTCGAGGACCCACCCCTGAGCCGGCGATTGGGAGGGCTGGGTGTGGAAGGCACCACCCAGATCCCCCCCCAGCTCCTGGCTCAGGAGGCGCCTGCCTGTGTTCCTGCCCCGGGGGCTGGCATCACATGGTGGGCACACAGGCACCCGAGCCTTAACAAAGGGTAAAGAAGGGACAGGGAGCGGCCAGAGCCCCCGGGGCCATGCAGAGAATGTGCTGTGCAGCTGCCTGGGGCCTGGCCAAGCTCCGGCGGCTGTGGAATCAGCAAGTCCCGGCCCTGGAGAGGTGGGCGAGGGGCACTGAGGGCAGGAGGCCAGGGCGGAGGCCTCAGCAGCAGTGGGCTGGGTGTTTTCTAGCATGTCAAGGGCCCCAGTGTGGCTGGAGCAGAGTGGGTGAGACGCGGGAGCTGGGGACAGGGCACGGGACAGCATGTGTTCTGAGTAACCCGGGCTTGCCCTTGAGACAAACACCCCTCCCCCAGGTAGTGTGTGACAGTGGCCTTAGGATGCCAGCACTGTGACGGCAGGGTGTGAGGAAGGCTGGGAGCTGGGTCTTCTGGAGAGTCCTACAGACCCAGAACATGACCCGGTGCCGCCTCTCAACTGGGCAGGCAGAGGGGATTTGAGGGCCCTGGCGCTGCCTGCAGGGGTCAGCAGCAGAGCGGCTAGTCCCTGGGGCACGACTGAGCTGCAGTGTTGGGGGGGGTCATACCAGAGGTCAGTCGCTCAAGTCCACCTGCTGTGTCTATTGTGGGGTGAGTGGGAAGGAAGGGGAACCACGCTGGCCAGATGGCTGGATGGGAAGATTCAGGGAGGGAGGGGGAGGGATACATGGATGGATAGATGGGTGGATGAGAGGATGGATGGATGGATGGATGGATGGATGGATGCTTGGAAGGATGGATGGATGGGAGGGTGGATGAGTGGATGGATGAATGGATGGGGGGTGGATGGATGGATAGATGGGACAGTGGATAGATTGATGGGTGGATGGGAGAGTGGATGGATAGGGTGGATGGATGGAGGGATGAGAGGTGGATGGATGGATGTAAGAGTGGATGGATGGATGGATGGATAGATGGGTGGGTGAATGGGAGGGAGGGTGGATGGATGGGTAGGTGGATGAATGGGAGGATGGATGGATGG